GCCTCAAGTCCCAGCTGGTGAGGGGGTGGCAGCCTACGGCTGTCCTAGGGTCCTTCTGCACACTGCTGCTGCTCTGTGGCGGGCACCAGCTTCCATCTCCACCCCAGGGCCCATTCCTGCACCCAGGCCTTTCTCCACAGCCTCCCACAGGGCAGCTGGGCCTGAGGCAGCTTGCTCACTAGCTCCCACCCAGCTGGTCCCACCAGCACCCCTGGGGTGGTCAGATGGGCTGCCACCCACAGAGGCCTGCAGATGGATGGTCTACAGACTGTCGCCTCAGCCCTGCCTGGCATCACAGTGTACAGCAGCGGCCCCCGGTTGGCCGGCACCATGCTCCTGCTGCTCCCAGAGGAAGCCAGGCTCCTCCCTCCTCTCCCGCTGCCTCCTCTAGCAGAGGGGGTGCAGCCTCCCCTGGCTGAGGGGATACAGGGAGGAGACGGGGCACCAGCTGTCAGGGGAAATGGCACTGCGCTCGAACAGCGGCTGAGCCACCGGGGCCCAGGCAGGTCACGGAGTGAAGGAACTTTCACAGCCACCCTTCCATCTCCCCCCACCCTCCACCATGGCCTGAACACAGGACAGATCTGGGTGTCCCCAGGCCTCTGCCCTCCACCCTGCACCATCTCTTACTTTTTCTTGTTTTTTGTTTTTGTTTTGCTTATGTGGTGCTGAGGAATTGAACCCAGGACTTCATGCATGAGAGGCAAGCACTTTACCACTGAGTCAACTTTCTAGCCGTCTCTTACTTTTTGATGGCAAACACAGATAATCCCACGGTGATGTTCTGAAGCCGGAACTGCTCATTCAAGATGTCAGTGTTGAAGGTCCCCTCCCAGATGATGGGAGCCAGCCATGGCGTCAGGACAAGGACGTCTCTCCTACTGCACAGAGAAAGAAAGCCACAGTCGGTGTGCACTGTGTGCCCACCGCCGTACCTGCCCTCTCCCCGGCTGCCTCCGTCCTCCCACAGGCAGACCTGGCCGTCACCACGAGACCAACCAGAGGCAAATCAGACTCGAGGGGACCAGGCAGCAGCCATCCCCGAATGCCAGCCCTGCTGCAGCAGGAGCTGAGATCTGCTGGCAAGGCTTGGAGTGGTCCTCACCCCACCCAAGCACCCCTTAGGGAACCCGTGACTCTGCCAGAAACTCAAGTCAAAGAAACAGAAAAGATCCTCTGGGGTCCTCAGGTCAACCTCCAATACAAAAACAAAACAAACAGGAAGCAGAACATTGAGCACTAATCCAGGAAAATCTTGAGAGTTTGTGTGTTGCTTTTTCCTGCCCTGTGGAGGCTTCAGGCATGGTAGCCAAGCCACAAGCCAGTCCAAACAAACTGCCTGTGCATATCTTTACCACAGACCCCCACACGCCTTGCAGTGTCAGTCCATTTACTCACGCGGGCGTCAGAGCCATCGGCTGGGGATACACCATCCTGAAAACCAAAACACAGGTGTGCACAAGAGTCACTGGGGAGCCATCTTTCACCGGCTGTGTGGGCTACACCCCACATCACCCAGAGCCAGAGCTGGTGGAGGGGCTGAGGCATGAGGCTTCCAGTCTCTAATTTGTCTTTGCAATGTGGGAGAGGAACCAAACACCCAAGGATCACAGGGCTGGTGGACCCACACTGCAGGCTGGGACGGGCCTAATGGCTCCTGTAACTCTGGGAGGGGCGGGGGGCTGAGAAGCAATCTCTCCTCCAATGAACCATCAGATGTCCACACCAGCTCTCCTGGGCCTCAGACTGGCCTGTGGCACTTTCTGTGCCACCCAGAGCCCAAGCCCCCATCTCAGGGTGTCAGAGACCAGCCTCAATGGTGGCAGGAAACGCTGTCCACCATTCCCAGTCCCATGATGGCTCTGGGAGTAGGAGTCAGCATGGAAAGGGCAGGGAAGCGCAGTGCAGGCTGCAGCAGGGATGAACCCTGATGACACAGGTGACAAAATCACGCCCCTCACAAAAGGGCAAAACCTGCTGGTGCAGTGGTTCATGCCTGAAATCACAGCTACTCAGGAGTCTGCGATCTGAGGATCATAGTTCCAAAACAGCCTGACCAGGAAAGTCTGTGTGATGTTTATCTCTAGTTAGCCACCAAAAGCCAGAAGTGGAGCTGTAGTTCAAGTGGTAGTGAGCTAGCCTTGAGTGAAAAAGCTAAGGGACAGTGCTTAAACCCCTGAGTTCAAACATCAGTACTGCCACATGCACATACTCAATGACATAGACATGGACACACAGACAGATATGCACACAGACACGGATACAGACTCAGACATACACAGACAGACAGACACACACACATAATCAATGACACAGATGGAGACAGACAGACCGACACACACACACACACATGATGTTTGCGTCCTAGTTACACCAGCACGGGAGTATTCCTCTTTAAGTCAGGTGAACACAAAGGCACAATGCCTATGTGCATCTGATCAGATAAACTAATGTTTATCAAAATGAACTCCAGGAAATGGAAACAAGAGGTTTATTTCTTCATTGCTGGTTTTGTTCTTTTTTTTTCTTGTTTATTCATTTACCTGTCTTTGGAAGGGTAAAGGGGGCATAGAACTGGAGGGACAAAGGGTGAATAAATGCAGCAGTGGCACTCACTGGACACTGTGTTGAGAATGAACTCTACAACTTATGGGTGGGGTCTGGAGGGAAAGTCAGGGAGACAGAGAGGAAAGGGGTGACATTGCCCAAAGAAATATGTACTCATTACCTGACTTATGTAACTGTAATGCCTCTCTATATTATCTTTATAATAACTATTTTTAAATATTTAAAAATTTTTTGTTTTATTTTGTTTGGCAGGGGAAGTCCCACTGCCCAGATCAGGCCCGGGCAGGGGTGCCCAGCCCCCTCCCCACACACACCAGGGCCAGAGGCACTAGGAGACGACACTGTACCTGGACGAGGCTCTGCTCTGCTCCTGTTCCCCGTGCACAGCAGCCACTCTAAAGGAGGACACAGGGGTCAGGTCTGTGATTAGAGCAGAGTATCAGGCACAAGTGCATGGGACTAGCTGGGCCTGGGGGAAGGCCACCCCTTCCACGCCGAGGCCAGTCAACCCCAAATCCCAGGGACCGCCAGGGATCAAGAACCTGACTGCTGGGCCCTGGACAGGAGCATCTGCCTGTTATCCCGGCCACCCAAGAGAGGGAGCTGGGAAGCTGGAGGCCAGCCCAGGCACGAAGCTCCTGTGGCAATTCCCCAAATCCAACCGAGTTCTGCACCCACACAGGACATGGGGCTAAGCTGGAGGAGACCCAATCCATCCGGCCCATTTGATGAGGCAGCAGTGCCACACAGGCCGCAGGCACAGGGCAGCCTCGGGACTCCCTGCTGTGAGGTCAGCGGAGGCCCAGCCCCAGCCCAGCGCTGAAGGCTGCTCACCTGTCCTGGCTGGTCCCGCCCTGAACTCTGCCTCTTAGCTGATGCCCACCTAGCGACTGATCACCTGGACATTAATTTTATTTAGGAATTTGCTCTGTTTTGGGTGTTGCTGTCTTGGGCTTCTTGTTTCTGTTTTTCTCTTTTGGTTGTCTTTCTTCTCTTCTCCCTTCTTGATCATTGCTGACAGCTTGTTTTTAATTTGTGCGTGCCTATATAACTACTCAGCTCGCCTCACTTCCCCTGGCGGCCCGAACTCAGCACAACATCCACTCAATCCTGTTCTACTCACTCACTCCACGTTCCACACGCCTCTCCCGTAAAGCTGGGCTCCGACCCCTTCCCACCCCAGCAACCAAGCAGCTAGTGTAATTCGAACAGTACCGTCCCCTCTGACTCCTTCTATGGCTGCCCAGTTAAAGGCAGTCTTCCTCGAGCACAAAACCTCACATCAGGCCCTATATCCATCTAAAGTGTGCAGAGCAGGGGCGGTGACTGGTCACCACCTGAACTTTCCACGCCCCAAGCTGTGGGGGGCTCCTGCAGCAGCCTGTGGAGCCAAGCAACCCCACCCATCCCAGTCAGCACCTTGGACATCTGCCAACCCAGAGCCACCCGCCAATCCATACACCACTGCCCAGTCAACTCCCCGTGCGAGGGGCTGGGACTAACAAGGAGGAAGAGAGAGGCTGAATTCAGCTGGAGCAGAGGGCTTACAACTATGAACACAGAGCAAAGAAACCTGTTGGGGTGGGGGAGGTAGAAGAGTGAGAATGATTGGAATACACTTAAACATGTGGAGATATAAAAATAATTATAGCCCTATTGTATAACCACTGTAAGCTAGTAATAAAAAAAGAGCACAGTACCAGTGGTAGAGTGGCTCAGTGATAGAGTTCTTTTCTTGCAAGTATGATGCCCTGGGATCGATTCCTCAGCCCTACATAAAAAGCACAAAAAGCACAAAGTGGCGCTGTTGTTCAAGTCGTAGAGCTCTAGCCTTGAGCTGAAGAGCTGAGGGACAGCGCCCAGGCCAAGAGTTCAGGCCCCATGACTGACAAAAAAAAAAAAAATCACAGTAGCACACATCACTGGCCCCCTACTTCGGTGATGGCGATACAAGCATTATAGGGGAAAAGCTGGAGATGCTATATACATATATAAAAAGGCAAGAATGAATGAAAAAATGATGGAAGGAAGGAAGGAAGGAAGGGAGGGAGGGAAGGAAGGAAGGAAGGAACGAATGAAGGACTGAAGGAATGACGGAAGGAAGGAAGGAAGGAAGGAATTGGGCCTGCATTTGTAAAACTACCAGCCACAAAGACTGCTTGAGCGGAGTGGTGAGTGGGGTAGAGCACTGACCAAGGAAGAAGCATCCAGAACACAGAACAGGAGGGAGACAAGACATCCAGGCAGAGGGCAGAGAGCAAACAAGAGCTGGAACCTGGCCTGCCTGGAGCTGCGGGGGACACACTGCCCGGCCGCAGTGGGCTGTGGAGGTCCAGCAGGAGGGGTCAGGCCACACAGGAGCTCCTAACCTGTGCCAGGAGGAGCAGCTGCTGGGGAGGGAGGGGCCAGGCAGATGGAGGGACAGACAAGCTTTGGTACCACAGGGCTGAGAAGGAAAAGAGAAGCCCACGGATGTGGAGACACAGAAAGGCAGATGAGGACCTGGGGACCACCTGGTGCAGGGGTGAGGCAGGAGGGTGGAAGGCAAAGCCATGCTCTCAACAGGCTCCTCAGGTGGAGGGCACAGAGAGCCAGGGGAGCCCAGGGTCAGGGCTGGAGGTCAGATGGGAGCTGAGGACAAAGGGGGACAGGCAGGTGATGCTTTAGGGCAACTGAGGTGACAAAGGCTGCTCGGTGGGACACACAGGTCAGGCTCCCAGCACAGACCTCGCAGGCCCCTCCTCCATCCCTCAGCCTCACTCACCTGGACTCAGCTCCCAGGCCTCCCTGTGCCTGTCTGCTGGGGGTCAAGATCCCATAGCTAGGAGAAGGAAGTGGGCAGAGACAGCTGCTCAGGATGCAGGCCTGCAGGGGTCCCTGCCCGGGCCCCACCCTCTGCCCAGACTGGCCTTCCTCCCCTTCCCCAGGCCAACCACCCAGCCCAGAGCCCCCCGACCAAGTGGAAGGAAAATGGGCATCACCGTGAGGGCCAAGGGCACAGGCCAGGACAGGCTGGACACACCATCGAGCCCAGCTGAGGGTGGCAGCACCCTCATCCTGCTGGGATTGTGGTGTGGAAGGCAGCCCAGGGCCCCACCCGGCTCCGGCGGGCCACTCCCAAGCCCAGCCTCTTACCTGAAGAACACCAGAGCGAGGGTCATCAGGAGAAGGGTTCCGGGGTGAAGCAAGTAGTGCTTCAATTTTCCTGAAACACAGTAGTGGGAAGTTCAGCTGCTCCCCCGTCTTCCCTCACCCCTCCCGGCATCTCTTTCCTTTGACTTCCTGTGAGGAACCTGCGCATGCTGGGCCAGCGCTGGTCACTGAGCTACAAAAGTCAGGAGTTTTCATGGTTCAGAGTTGGAATATTGGGTTGGGGGCTCAGATGGGAGAGTGCTAGGGAAGGAGCAAAAGCTTCAGGTACTGAGTTCAAATCCCAACCTAAGAAAAAAGAAAGGAAGGAAGGGATGGAGGAAGGAAGGAGGAAGGAAGGAGGAAGGCAGGAAGGAAGGAGAGAGCGAGAAAGAGAGAGAAGGAGGGAAGGAAGGAGGAAGGGGGAGAAGGAGAGAGGGAGGGAGGGAAAGAGTTTGAATACCCTAACAGGCCTTCTCAGAAAGGCTTACTGCACACCACACACACCGCCACCTGTGATTGGCTCAGGCCCCAAAATCAGTCCGTCCATCTCCCTGTACTACTGGTCTACCTTTACCTTACTGTTTCCTACTCCTCCAGCCATGAAACAAACAACTCCTACTAGCTTCTGGGAAACCAAGGAACCGGGCAGGGAACACCTGACCTCTCATTTGTGTATTTGGCCTGCAGTAAGGTTGGCACCCAGGCCACATTCCTGCTGCCCTGGCTTGCTCAGCGAGCACTGGAGCACTTGGGCCACACCCTCAGCCCTTATTTTTGCTGATTATTTTGGAGATGGCGTCTCATGGACTGATCTGCTGAGGGGAGCTCCAAACTGTGATCCTCAGATCTCAGCCTCCGGAATAGCTAGATTGCAGGTGTGAGCCATGGTGCCTGGTTATCATATACCTTGAATGTATTTTTTCCCCTCATGTATGTAGTTGGCACATGGTTTGGCTGCAGGAAAACCTAAGTGAAAACAACTTCTTAGTTTTCAAGTAACTTTCAATTTTTTTTTTTTGGGTCCGGTTGTGGGACCTGAACTCTGGGCCTGGGCGCTGTCCCTCAGCTCTTCAGCTCAAGGCTAGCGCTTTACCACTTGAGCCACAGCGCCACTTCCGGCTTTTTTCTTTTTTGCTTATGTGGTGCTGAGGAATCAAACCCAGGGCCTCATCCATGCAAGGCAAGCTCTCTACCACTGAGCCACCTTCCCAGCCCCATTTTTTTTAACTTTTAAAACTAAGTCCTTTTTTACTTTATTGTTAATTTAGAAGGGTTATATATACAGAGAGGTTACATTGACTTCTGTCAGGTAATAAATCCATTTCCTTTGCCACAGCGTCATCTGTCCCTCATCCTCTCCTATTCCCTCCCTCCCGTCTCCACCCACAGTTGCACAGTTCCTGTTCACCGATGACCAGTGCGCTCCACTGCTGCACTTTTTTACCCTTTTCCCTCGCATTCCGGGCCCTCCCCGCCCTCCTACAGAAGTGCACGTGAGCACACCACGTATAAGGTAAACGATAAGGAATCAGCAGAAAAAGAAATCAATTTTTACGTCCTTTGTTTCCATATCTTTGGAGTTTGTTTCATATGTCTATTATTTTATATACATATGAAGAGGCTCGTAGACATTGCACCTTTATGATTCTCTCCTAAAACTCTCCTCTTTTGGTGTCACTGTATGTGCACATCTAGAACCTGGCATACTTTGTCCTACCCAGTGCATTTTCGATGTAACTTCTGCACATCAGGGAGAACCTGTGCACTTGGTCTCTGATCTTGGTTTACTTCACTTAACATGATTTGTTCTAGTTCTGTCCAGTTCCCTGCAAATAACATTGTTTCTTTCCAATGGCTGTGTAAAATTCCATTGTGTACAGGTACCCCATTTTTGGGATCCTCTCCTCTATTGTGGGGTATCTGGGCTGTTTCCATGGTTTGGCTGTTGTGAATAGTGTGGCAGTGAGCATGGAGGTGCAGGTGTCTTTATCATAGCCTGGCTCGTGATGGTCAGGGTAGATGCCCAGGAGTGTTATGGCTGTTCACAGGAAAGTTTCATTTTTTAGGAACCTCCAGACTGCTTTCCAGAGTGGTTGTACTGGTTTACATTCCCACCAGCACGGCAGTAGAGATCCTTTTCCCCCACACCGCTGCCAGCCTTTGCTGTTGTTCAACTTCAAAATGCATGATGACAACAGGGATCCACTTTTAGTTTTCTGCCCATGGCTGTCCAGTCCTCCCAACACCCATTGTTGAAGAGGCTGTTTGCTCCCCTCCTTTGCCGACTCTCAAACAACTGTAGTTATGAGCTTTTGTTTTCTTCGTCTTCCAACCTGTACCATTGACGCTCAGGTCTATTTTTGTGGCAATATTATGGCTCTCTAGCAAAGTCTGACATCTGGAAAGAGCTGCCCAAACCAGGACTGCAGGGTCCACCTGTCTCTCCCCACCCACCTCTGCCTGCTTCTCCCTCCCAGCTGGTGCTCCTCCCCTGGCCCAGGCTCTCCTCTCTCCTGACCCCGCCCCTCCTCTCCCAGGCCCCGCCCCTCCTCTCCCCTGCCCCGCCTCTCCTCCCAGGCCTTGGCTCCACTGCACTCACCAGCCAGTGTCCACTACTGGGGAGCCACGGGCATGAGGCAATCTTAGTAGAATGAGGCCTAGGAGTTAGTTATTGGTGTGGGTGGTATTTGAAGTGCTCAGATAAACTAAGTGAAACTATTAAGTCTAAGCTTGTTGCTATTGATATACAAACTCATCACAGGGTCATGGTTCAAATCCAGCTTAGGCAGGAAAGTCTGTGAGACTCATATCTCTAATTAACCACTAAACAGTCAGAAGTGGAAGTGTGCTAAAGTGGTAGAGGGCTAACCTTGAGCAAAAACAGGTAAGGAACAGGACTCACGCCCCAAGTTCAAGCCCCAATACTGAGAAGAAGAAGGAGAAGAAGGCGGGGAGCCAGCCAAAATGGATTACTGGCAATGTGGATCTGGTAGAAAAGCACCAACCTCCCAAGCAGGCTGTGTAAGAACAAAGCCCTGAGATCAAGCCCCATAGTAACAATAATAGTAACCAGCCAAAGTGGGGCTACAAATATGAATCGAGCAGTACAACACCAACTAGGAAGCAAGCTATGCAAGAGCAAGCCCCAGACCTGTAACAAAAAGAGAGAAAAAGAATACTCATGGATAGCTGCAAAGTATATGAAACATAGATTTCAACTTCACTAGTCATTAGGGGAAAGTATACTAAAATCACAAGGAGATGCCATACATGCATTGTATAAGAATGAAAGGCTGAGCATATGATCTGTCAGGGCCAAGCGGAGCAGCTAGAGCTTTCAGAAGCCACTGGAGAACAGAGGACCCTACAAGCACTTTGGAAATTAACTTGGACTTCCTGCCCCTTGAGGAAGGAAATGGGTGTGTCCACAGAAAGACTGGTCTACATTTGCCTCCCGCAGCTCCACCTGCCAAAGGTCTAACCTAGAAGCTAAGGCCAAGCTAGGTGTGACCATACACTGGGGCAGTATGAGGAATGAACTATGTGTGAACTCAACCCACTGAAAGAGTCTCAAATTTAATTATTCTGGGTGGAAAAAGAGAGATTCAGTGTGTAATTCCTTTTATATAAAACTCTAGACGAGCCAGGTTCTGGTGGCTCTCGCTTTTAATCCTGGCTATTTAAGAAATAGAGCTCTGAAGACTAAGGTTTGAAGCCAGCCAGGGTAGGGAACTCTGTGAGACTCTTATCTCCAAGTAATCACCAAAAAGCTGGAGGTGGAGCTGTGGCTCTAGTGATAGAGCAAAAACTCTCAAGAACATCCGGGGGGGCTGGTGGCTCACTCCTGTAATCCTAACTATTCCAGAGACTGAGATCTGAGGACCACGGTTCAAAGCCAGCCCAGGCAGGAAAGTCCATGAGACTCTTATCTCCAATAAACCACCAGAAAAACCAGAAGTGATGCTGTGGTTCAAGTGGTACAGCACTCGCCTTGAGCTGAAGAGCTCTGGGTCAGCGCCCAGGCCCAGAGTTCAAGCCCCACAACTGACCAAAAAAAAAAAAAAAAAGCTCAGGAACAGCACCCAGGCCTGGAGTTAAAGCCCCAGGATTGGCCCAAAAAAATAAAGCTAGAAGTGGAGGTGTGGCTCAAGTGGTAGAGATCCAACCTTGATAATAAACCTAAGTGAAAAAGTGAGGCCCGGAGTTCAAGCACCAGCACCCTCCACCACACACAGGTCAAATGTTCAAAACATGGGGATCTAGGAAATGGGACAAACGTGAACAGATTCATCCCGGCCTGTCTGGGGACAGGAGGCCCCAGGCCAGCCTGGCCAGGCCAGTCTACCTGCTGCCCATCAAGGAGAGGTTCAGGCAGGTGTGAGAAGCAGCCATTATTCCCATTTCCTCTCCCAGGAGGATGAGCTGCTAGCTGCTCACTAAAAGACAGGTGTCTGCAGCCTGTCGGCTCTGCAGCAGCCTGCCTGGGGACGGAGCTGCTTCCTCTCACGACCCTCCCGGAAGGCCCTGAGAGGCCAAGATAAAGGAGTCAATGGATGAGGACGCCTCTGGGAGTACTTCCCTGCCACCTGGGGAGGGATCTGGATCTTTCTCCCTGATCTTCGAAGCAGGGGAGACACCCAGGGCCAGGGTTCAACTCTGAAGTATCTGCGATCCCCACAGAGGCCGACCCACGCTGAAGAACACCCACGGCAGAAGGAAGGTAGCACACCCTGCCTTCCTCCCGAGGCTCCATGGAGCCCACCTGGCTGCCAGGCCCTGGCAGAGGGGAGAAGGTGAGGAGGCGGGCCTGCTGCTCCCCACCAAGAGCTTTTAGGAGATCCACACTGACTGGGCCCGGCCATCGCCACTTGCTAGTGGGCATGCCACCTGCCTCTGTTCTCAGAGCTGCTCCCCTGCTCTGACTCCCTCAGCCTAATGTCCCTTGTGCCCAGACACCAAGTCCCCGAGAGCCCAGCCCAGCGGGGGCCTCAGGTGGCAGGGAGGCTGGGGGGCAGGGCCCTACAGAGGCCCCGGCTCCCAGACCACCTGGGCAGGGAGAGACACTGGCAGCTC